AGGTCACCATCAATCAGAGCCTGCTGGCCCCGCTGCAGGTGGACATCGACCCCTCCATCCAGCAGGTGCGCCAGGAGGAGCGCGAGCAGATCAAGACTCTCAACGACAAGTTCGCCTCCTTCATCGACAAGGTTAGCCGGACAGAACCCTGCCTCCAGCCTTGCTCCAGGCCACACCAGCCATGCTAACTAGCCCTACCTGCAGGCAGGCCGGGCGCTGGGAGGACTGGCTCCCTTCTCCCTTTCTGCGAATGTCCAATGTCGTGGGATGCTGCCTCCCAGGCCTTCCTCCTCCCCATTAACCCCTTGCATTCTGTTCCCCTGGGTCTCCAAGCCGTCTCTTCCAGCAAGCTGCCGGTCGCCCCTCCCTTTCCTCCAGGAGTGTGTGCCTGGGCTCTGTAGGGCTGCGCTAGTTGGCTGTGTCTGTGAGTCCGCTGGGGCTCTTGGGCCAGTTTTGTCACCGGTGTCAGGATGGGAGTTCTAGAGACCAAGGCCAGGGGTTCTTCTCTCTCTGGGCCCCTTTCCCTGAGAGGGAGCTGTGTGGAGTCTAGGATGAGGTGACCTCAGCTCCTTCAGACGCTGAAGATGCTGGAGCAGAGGCTGGACATAGAGGGCTGGAGGGAGGAGGCTCCACCTGGCCGGTCCTCCACCTCCCTTTGGCAGTAGGAGAGGTCATGCCTGTCCTTGGACATAGCCCGGCTGGGGGCAGGATGTGGCACCAAGAGGCCCTGGGAAGGGGCTATTTGGGACGCTTTTTTCCTGGCTGTCAACTTCTGCCACACGTGTCCCTCCAGGGAGGGGAGGGTCAGACTTGACTGGCAGATGTGGGAGGAATGGGGGCAAAGTGGACCAAGTTTGCCACCTGCTGCCCCCCACGTTGTCCTCTCCTTTGCCATTCAGCCAGATGTGTCCTTCGGATTCTGTGGGGGCCTCCCCAGGCTGCCCCAGGCCCAGACTCCTCCCTGTTGCTGAGCTGCACACCTTACTGTCTGCAGCCTCCACGTCCTGGTGCCTGAGCTGCCGGATATGAGAGGCTTCTCTTGCCTCCCATCCTAAGTCATACTAGGTGCTCCTTAAGGGCTTTCCCAGGGCAGGACACACAGTAGGTGCTCATTTTACCTTGGATTGACTGTAGTGCCCTGACCCAAGGTCTTGCTGGAGGAAAGGGAAGAAGAGAGAGGTTGCTGAGGAAGGAAGAGGAGAAGTCCTAGTCTAAAGGGAGGGGAGGGCCCCAAGATCCCTCAACAGGAAGGGGCAGCCTTTCAGAAATGGACTGGGGGAAGGAGCCCCTAGAGCACGTGTGTCAAGAGCCAAACATCAGTGTGCCAGGCAGACACTGACACAGAGTCTGAGGGGAGAGGGCTGGGGGCCCCAGTCAGGGAACAGCCAGAGGGTGTGTGGGCACTGCTGGGTGGCTCGAGACCCTCCTCAGTCCTGCTGTGGGTGGCACAGTCTGGCCCCTTATGAGTTTCCTCCCCTCCCCCCACCCCTCCCAGGTGCGGTTCCTGGAGCAGCAGAACAAGCTGCTGGAGACCAAGTGGGCGCTGCTGCAGGAGCAGAAGTCCACCAAGAGCAGTCGCCTCCCGGGCGTCTTTGAGGCCCAGATTGCTGGCCTGCGGGGGCAGCTCGAGGCACTGCAGGTGGATGGCGGCCGCCTGGAGGTGGAGCTGCGGAGCATGCAGGATGTGGTGGAAGACTTCAAGAATAAGTAACGCCCCCCAGTGCGACCCGCCAGGACTCCTGCCCCTGGGCCAGCGTGCCGCTCATCAGCTGGCCCTCTGCAAGTGCCCCAGCTGCAGGGTTCAGAGTGTGCTGCTGCTCAGAACCAGCACGGTTCCTGCCTCTCTCACTAGTTTGTGCCAGGGGTGGTGTCCATCATTCTAGTCTTTTCTCCTGACTCAGTCCGAGTGCGACATCTCAGCCTGCCCCTGACCTGCACTGCTCCCTTTGAGTGCCTGACCTGGCTCTGAGGGAGGTGGGGCGGCAGGTATCTCATGACAGGAGTGCTTCAGAACTTGTGTGATCCTCACAGATCATTCTAGAACAGCTCCCTTTTGTTCAGGTGAGGAATTGGAGAACAGAGAGGTTCAGGGACTTGGTTGAGATCACACAGCAGGTCACTGTGAGAACTAGGACTTGAATTTTTAGGTCTCTGACTCTCAGGTGGAGAAGGAAAGAAGTGAGGAGGGAAGCGATGGCCGTGAGCAATGGGGAGGGGAGCAAGGGCTTCGGGGTGGCCGGGTCAGGGCGGGAGCCAGAAAGGAGGCTGTGAGGAAGGGCCAGGAAGCCTGGGGCTTTAGGGACAGGCCTCCAAGGTGCTTGCTGAGCTCTCTTTTACCATTGACTAGAAGCCAAAGGCCGGAGCTTGGGCTGGGCCCCACCTTGGCACACCTGCCCACTGGGCACTGGGGGTGGGGGGAGTGAGAGAGTTCTGTCCTTTGCCGGTGGCTGCGTGACTGAGCAGGAGTAGGAACACTGGCTCTGACTGGAGGAGAGCAAACAGGCCTGTGGAGCATCCCCCCCAGGGCAAAAGTCAACAGGATTAATTCCACAGCAGGTGGGACCAGACAGGTGCAGGGCAGGGCAGGCCTGGGCCACCAGCCAGCCCTGTTGTCAGGGACTCCACATGCGTGCATGCATATGTGTACACCCCCCATCCTCCCCCAACCCCAATGTGCTCAAGCACCTTCCTGTGAAGCCCAGCTGAGCTCAGGCAGGGCTGAGGGAGAAGCTGTCAGGGGCCCAGAGAGGGCCCAGGGCAGGGCCTGTGCGCAGCTGCTCAGGGAGCTGCAGTCCGGGCTGCTTGGGGCCTCGCAGTGCAGCACTGAGGCTGAGGCTGGGACGGGCAGGCAGCCTCGCAGATATTTCCACAGCTTCTAGAGGACCTGAGGGAATGTGGCTGTGTGGATGTGGCTATCTCCCACCCTGAGTCTGGGCTCCTGGAGGGGTCCACACTGCCTGGGCGTCCTGCTACCTGCCAGCGCTGTCCCCGGCTGTTCCTGCTGCTCCCAGCAGCTCTCGGGCACTGCTGAGCTCTTGTTTCTGACATTCCTTTTTTGAGTCCCCAAATAAACACTAGGCTAGGCTCTTCCTCTGTGCCCTCCTAAGGGTAGGGATGGGGGCTGGACTGTGTAGCTGGGGCCTGGTTCTTCCAGGATTTTATGTGTCCCCTGTCCTGATTCCATAGCGTTCCTCCCCTTGAAACCCTTTCCTCACCCCTCTGGGTGGGATTAGGTTGTGGTTAAGGCACAGGCTGAAGTCAGCTGCCAGGGTTCAAGTCAGGGCTTTGCCACTGAGCAGCCCAGTGACTTGGGCAGATTACCCAGCCTCCCTGTGACCCTGTTCCCTCTCGGGTGCCATGATTATAGAGTTGTCATGAGGATGAGATGACTTAGTGACTGAAGCACGTAACAGTGCAGGCCCCACAGAAAGCAGTCCATACACTGGGCTATTATTGTCTGCTGTCTTCCCTCCGGTATACGCAGCTTTTGTGCTTTAACTAACATGCTTCCTGCATGTCCAGCCGACCACTTACCCTCCCCCGCCCGTGCCAAGACTCAAGCCCCAGGAATGGCCAGGCGGAAGTCAGGGAGATTTGGTCTTGTAGCTCTGACACCTGTCTTTTTCAAGTGTGTCATTAAGGACAGGGTGGAGGGAAGGAAGGGCAGATTTCCCACCTGTATGTGAGGGGCATGGAGGCAAAGCTGCACCAACACCACGCCCCCTCTGCTGCAGGTACCAAGACGAAATTAACCATCGCACGGCTGCTGAGAATGAATTTGTGGTGCTGAAGAAGGTGAGGGGCAGACAGGCTGGAGGGGGGTGGTCTGATAACATGTGGGACAGGGGACCACAGGGCCTCTCACCTGAGTGGCAGGTGGGGCCCTGTGGCCACGGTCTGGCCTGGGCTGTGCAAGAGGGGAGAGATGGGGCTGGGGAGGGAGAGGTCTGGAAGCCAGACCCTTACCACACAGCCTGTCCTGTGGTGCGTGTGTGTGTGTGTGTGTGTGTGTGTGCGTGTGTGTGTCTGGTGAGTGGCTAGACTTCTTTCTGGGCCTCTAGTGGTTAGAGGGAAGACCAAAGGGCAGAGGTTAGAGAGGGAGATTTCCCGAATAAGAAAGTGCTCTATCGAAGTCAGAACATTTCATCACAGACAAAGGTGACAAGTGGCCGGCCTGAAGTGTTTGCTGAATGAAAGTGACGAGCTGCCTTGAGGCAGCTCTCTGTCCCTGAAGATTTGCAAGTGGAGATTGGAAGGCCTTAGGAGTATCTTAGGGGGCTTGGAGCTACATGCTCTTTAAGACTTTGATTCAACACACACACACCGAGTAGCTCCGTGTTCCGGGCCCGTCCACAGAAGTGCAACCTGCACCAGAGCGCTGGGCCCTTGCTCTTGGAGATTCAGGATTGAGTCAAAGTGAGCCCTACCACCCAGGAGTTTAACCCCAGGGGAGTGTGGCTGGAAGAGGCTTAGACATCATTTCCACCTGGGGTGGCAGGACTCTGACCTGCATCAGAGTCACCCGTGCTGCAAAATAAACATGTGGGCTGGAGATTTTCCATCTAGGAGGGTGTGTGGGAATCTGAACGACTTTATGCTCTTCTCCCACTGAATGATGGGAAGTTGAGGCTCAGAGTTGAAGTGATTTGTTCCAGGTCACATGGCTAGCTGGTGTGTTCAAGCCATCTAAGTCTTTAGGCACTGGTTGAGTGCTAGATTGGGCCTCTGGGACCCCAGCGCCTCTGGCCCTGGGGATGAGTGGAGATGATGCCCCTATTGGGGGGGGGCCTTCAGCAGTGGAAACTTCCTGCCATGGTATCAGGAAGCTGGAGGAAATCGTGTTTCTTAGTGGGGCAGTGGTGTTTGGACCTGTGGGTTGGACAGGGCTGGGCTGCTCCCACCTCTACTAAACGTCCCCTATACTGAGGACATGGTATCCCTCTACCCCGTCCTTCTCCTGTCCCCAGGATGTGGATGCTGCCTACATGAACAAGGTGGAGTTGGAGGCCAAAGTGGACGCCCTGAATGATGAGATCAACTTCCTGAAGACCCTCCATGAGACAGTGAGGACCTCGGGGGTGGGGACATGTCTCATCCTACCTGTCCTAGCCAGGGAGCCATCTGGTTCAGTCCCTTGCCTCTGGGCCAGTCTGTGTGTGGGGCGTGGGGGCGTTTATCCTGCTCTTCATCCTTTCTGCCTGCAGGAGTGCATGATGGGCAGGCGTTCAGGAAGACCTGGGGGTGGGGTCAGTCAGGATTGGCCTTGGAGAGACATAGGATGGCTGCAGTATTTCTAAGGAAGGGGGATTGGGTGGGACAGAAAAGAACGAGGAGGAGTTCAGGGGACCCCAGTCTGTGATGGGGCTCAAGGGTGGGCTAGGTGGGGTGCACAGGGGGTCCCACGTCAGGAGAGGCTGGAGTGCCTTTTATACCCGGAGGTACTGGGTGGACAGCCACCCAGGAACTCGCCACTCCTCTGTCCACCCTTCCTTCTTGTTCTTTCCCTCCCGCCTTGCCCTGCCCAGCTTCCAGCTCTCCTTCCTCACAGGGATTTGAAAACCCCTCTACTTTCATCAGCGGGAATCTCTGGCCTTAGGCAGAAGATAGGCTGCCTAATCCTCGGCAGAGGCCAGGCTGAGGCATAATTAGCACTCAAGGCTAATTACAGACCGGTTCTCAGTTCTGTCCAGCGGAGGCTTTGCTTGGACATCCAGCCTCCGTTGGCCCCAGAGCGAATTCCACATGGATGTCAGTTTCAGGAGCTTCAAGCACTTCCAACCTCAGTCCTGTCTTCCTTTGTCTGCCACATATTTTATATATGTGCACATATACACACACATACATTTATATATGTTATGTATAATACATATATAAAATTTCCTTCTCATGTGAAAGCAATACATACTCATTGCAAAAAACCCAGAAAATTAAGTAAACCATAAAGTTGAAAATAGATCACTTAAACCTACTGTTACCATCTTTGTATTAATATCTACTTTTCCAGACTTTTTCTGTGCATATGTATATATATATACACAGATAGAAAAATATATATATATATATACATTTTTTTTTTTTGAGACAGAGTCTCACTCTGTTGCCTGGAGTAGAGTGCCGTGGCGTCAGCCTAGCTCACAGCAACCTCAAACTCCTGGGCTCAAGCGATCCTATTGCCTCAGCCTCCCAAGTAGCTGGGACTACAAGCATGAGCCACCATGCCCAGCTAATTTTTTCTATATGTTTTTAGCTGTCCAGTTAATTTCTTTCTATTTTTGGTAGAGACGGGATCTCGCTCTTGCTCAGGCTGGTCTCGAACTCCTGAGCTCAAACGATCCGCCCGCCTCGGCCTCCCAGAGAGCTAGGATTACAGGCGTGAGCCACTGCACCCGGCCAGAAATATATATTTTTAATAAAAATAGAATCGTATCTTTTTTCATGCAATAGTATACACCACAGACATACCTCCCTGTCCGTCAGTACAGCCAAGTCATCAGTGTGAAGGCTGCAGAGTGTTCCATTCCAGGGTGGAAGACGATTATTTCACCTGTCCCCTGTCGGCCCCCTTCACAAGAGAGCTCTTGCCCCAATGGCATCTCCCAGTGAGGAGCCATCACAGCTTACCACATTGTCACTTTCTCTATCCCCTTTAATCCTACCAGACTGCTATTTGAGACACTGCTGATGGGCTCCTCAGGGAGCCGGGGGTGGGCAGAAAGAACCATGTAATGTGTGCTGGGTCTGGGTCCCCTCACTGCCTGGCAAATCGGCCACTCCAGACTGTCCTTTCTTTCTCTTTCCCGTGTGTATGGGGGATCCAGGGTGGGCACGGGCACGGGGGTGGGTCATGTCCAAGTCCTGACGTTCTGTCGGGTTCCTACAGGAGTTGACAGAGCTGCAGTCGCAGAACTTGGACACGTCTGTGGTCCTGTCCATGGACAACAGCCGCTCCCTGGACCTGGATGGCATCATCGCTGAGGTCAAGGCCCAGTATGAGGAGATGGCCCACCGCAGCCGGGCTGAGGCTGAGGCCTGGTACCAGACCAAGGTGTGTGGCCAATGGGGACATATTTCCTCCCCTGTCAGCGTCCTTGGTGGCAGCTTCCCTTACTCCTCAACGTGTCTCAAGCCTTTAGGGCCTGGGGTCCTACTGTTCTGGCAGGTACCAGTGGTTAAGTCTGTGGTGCTCTGGGGAGAAGAGGATGTGAAGGCCACATCCCTGCCCCAGGGGAGATCTCAGCCTGACCAGAGGATGGCAAAGGAAATAGACATGGATTAATATTACTAATTATAATAGCTAAAATTTGGCAAGTCTTTACATAGTGCTAGGCAATTTTCAAATGTTTTACTTGTACTGACTCATGTAATCCATAGAACTGCCCTATTAGGTAAGCACCATTATACCCATTTTAAAGATGAAGAAACTGAGGCACAGAGAGGTTAAGTAACTTCCCTAACTCCACACAGCTAGTAGATAGAAGAGCAGGAACTAGAGCCTGATCTTAGCGCCCCAAACCTGGGAAGCTAAATCATTACCCATACTTTATGGAGGGAGGACAGCCTCAGGTGCTGAGGGAGCTAGGGTAAACCAGCACCCCCATATGAGGGATCCAGAGGCACAGATTAAAGCAGCATGGAGGCAGGGAGTCATCCATGGTGTAGGGGTGAGAACACAGGTGTGCCAACAAAGAGACCTGGGTTCAGGCCCTCGTTCTACCATTGACTTGCTGTGTGATGCCCAGGCTGTGCTTTCCCTTCTCTGGGACTCACTGTCCTAATCTGTGAAATGGGTGTGGCTGGTTGTTGAATAGGTGAGGGTCTCAGACTTTCAGTGACTCTCCAGCACTAGGGCACGGAGCACTAGGGAGTGGGAAGAGTCCCAGGGTCAGTGGATGGCCCTGGGGAGCCTTCCCTGTCCTCCCTGCCCTGGCTTGGAGGAGACTAAACCCCTTCCTTGCCCTCCTGCCCAGCAGTCTGGCCCTTGGCATTAGGCAAGGATTGCTGGGAGTCAGACTATCCTCCTCTAGAAATGTAAGCAGGGAGGGGCCTTCCTTGGATGGGGAGAGGGACGAGTAGCCTATAATCATCGCCCACCCTCTGCCATATCTTTCTATATGGCCCCTCTAGTTTGAGACCCTCCAGGCCCAGGCAGGCAAGCACGGGGACGACCTCCGGAACACCCAGAAGGAGATTGCGGACATGAACCGGGCCATCCAGAGGCTGCAGGCTGAGATCGACAACATCAAGAACCAGGTGGGGACCAGCTCTCCTCCCGGCTCCTCCTAGGCCAGAGCTGTGCAGCTCACGTCTCAGGCCCACTTGTGAGAGCTCCAGGATAGAATGTTCTTGGCAGGTCCCAGCACACGCCAAGGGCAGGAGAAGAATCTGGATGGGCATGGAGTGTGTGGAGGGAGCCTCAGGCTGGCCGGCCAGAGGAGAACCACCATCAGTTACCACACTGCTTGAGCCCTGCCTGCACCTACCTCTGGGTGCCATGTGCTGTGCCCAGGAGCTCACAGTTCACAGGGGACACAGAGGCCAGCAGAAGCCTGTCCTATGGCTTCCATGGCCCTTTCCCACCCAGCCCTCACTTCCCACAATTCCCCTCACCCTGCTCGGGCCACACTAGCCCACTTCCTGTACCTTGCATTTGCCAACACGGTCATGCTTCAGGGCCTTTGCACTTGGTGTTCCCTCCACGTGGAATGTGGTTCTCCCAGCTCAGTCTGTGGCTGTCCCTTTCTCATCCCTGGGGTTGAGGACAAAAGACCCCTTCCCAGAGATGGCTTCCTCAAACACCCAGCCACTGTATCAGCAGCCTAGCTGAAGTCCTTTGAAGCACCTATTATGCTCTGAAAGTTTGTCTTATTAATTCAGTTATCGACTGTCCCTGCCTCCGCTGGAGTATGACAGATGCCTGAGAGCAGGGACCTTGTCTGTCTGGTTCACTGCTCCTCTCTCCCAGCACTGGGCACACGGTGGGGCACAGGTCTCAGTCGAGAGGCTGACTGGGAGGATGTGCTTTGCTGGAAGCTGGGCTTGGAGGTGTTCGTGGGGGAGGGTCCCCAAGCCCTGGCTGAGGTACAGGTGTGGGTAGGCAGCTCAGGCTGAGCAGGTGTGTGCAGTGGCGAGGGAGGGAAGGAGATACATGCAGCAGCTTCAGAAAGCTGATTTCCAGATTAGCTGGGGCAGGGGGATGTGGGGGTGATTTACCCAGAGATGTCCCCTCATTAGAGCCCTGCAGGCCCATTTACAGGAGGGCAGAGGTAGCCTCCTGGCACAGATGCAGGGCTGTGAATCACCTCGAGAAGTGGGCCAGCTTCCAGGCCAGGAGGGAGGCACAGAACAGTGAATGGTGGTTTCCCAAACCCTACAGCCTCCACCACATTCGCGTCTCCTCTCACGCCAGGGCAGATCCCTAGAGTCTGCCTCCACCGAGAGGTCTCCAGAGGCAGTGGGGATGGCCTTGGCCCAGGAGGCACCCGTGTGGCAGGGCAAGGCCTGAGCAGTGGCCAAGGGCAGGGTGTCAGGGTCTTCTGGGAGGACAGGCAGAGAGGCAGGGGTTTCAGCTGAGGGCAGAGGACCAAGGACAGAGAAGTCGGTGAAAAGGGAGGAGGAGGAACCCTGGCAGAGGCCTGGGGTGACACCCTCTTAGCCAAACACAATGAGGCCCGGGACTGGGACAGGCTCCTGGCAGTGGGGGAGGAGCCCAAAGCAGAGGGAACTCTAAGGCCAGGCAGGAAGTGGTAGCTGCTCAAGGCAGACGCAGGCCCATCGGGACCGGACTGTCCGTGACCAAACCCATGGGCTGTGCCAGGTCCCATGGCATCTGGGGGTACTTAGTAGTGTCTCTCTGCTCCAGGGCCCCCTGTCCTGTGCCTGTTCCCAATGGTTTCTGTTTTAAAGGTGGTTTCTGGTCCTTGTCAGCTGCTGGACATTTGGGAACTCAGTTAAGATCCCATAGTCTTGGAGCTCCTCCAGCTAAGGGCTGAGAGGACTGGGGATTTGAAAATCATAATAGCATTTATTAATAATAATCACAATAGCATTTATTAAGTACTTGCTACGTGCTAGACATTGTGCCAAGGACCTCTTGTGCTTTATCTCATTTCATCCCCCAAATATTCCTGTGAGGTAGACAATGTGATTATTGCTCTTTTAGAAAAGAGGAGACTTTGGCTTAGAAGGATTGATTCATCCAAGGTCACAAAGCTATTAAGTGGCAGATCCAGAACTGGAAGCTAGCAGCATTGGCTACCCAAACCCATGTGTTTAACTCTTGGATTCCCTGGTGCTTCGGGGAGTAGGCGATACTGATGGAGCCACCTGAAGCAACTTGCCCAGGTGCTCGCTGTGGGATGGGTAGGCAGGAAGGCAGTGACTGGCAAGCCCTGTCCCCCAGCTCACAGCTCCACTACTGCCCACAGCGTGCCAGGTTGGAGGCTGCCATTGCCGAGGCTGAGGATCGTGGGGAGCTGGCCCTCAAGGACGCTCGTGTCAAGCAGGAGGAGCTGGAGGCCGCCCTGCAGAGAGCCAAGCAGGACATGGCGCGGCAGCTGCGCGAGTACCAGGAGCTCATGAATGTCAAGCTGGCCCTGGACATCGAGATCGCCACCTACCGCAAGCTGCTGGAGGGCGAGGAGAGCCGGTGAGGACAGGGAAGCTGGGAAGGGGATCCTTCTGGGGCTTGACCTTCACCCATTGGCAAGCATTTCCCATGCGTCCCTCCTCTGCGGGGCGCTGGGGCTGGGGCTGCAGGGTAGGCAGAGCTGATGCTTGTTTCTTTGCCCTCAGTGAAGGCCCCATGTAGTGTAAAGCTCGTGGGGAAGCCGAAGTGAAACAGCCCCTTTGTGAGTGTGGCTATTAGCAGGGTTATCCCACCTGATCCTCAGAATACGTTCAAGTCATGAGGTCAGATACCGATTCCCTAGTCTGTGGAGGGGAACCCTGTGGTTTGGTTTCCTTAACTGAGGGAACGGGACAAGTGTGCAGTCACAGCATGCTGATTCCCAGTCCAAGTGTCTTCCATGACGCCAGGAAGTAACACTTCTCACTACATAATAAGTGCTATTGACCGAATGTGGTAGGGGAGGGTAATGTCTGTCCCCAGAGATGTTTGCATACATGGACCATGGACATGGACTTGGAGTCCCAGTGGGGGCTGGGACGGGTTAGTGTGGTAGGGAATTCTGCATGAGCAGCAATGGTGGTGCCTCTGTGAAGTTGGGCCTTCCTGTTCACACTGTGGGTTGGTTGATTCATTCAGTCTACAGATAAGGCTTTAGAGTTGTACCCTGGGGGAGACGAGGATTTGGAGAGGGTGAAAAGCAACAGCGTTGGACCTCAGGGGGAGGTTGCAGATCAGTTGAGTAGAAAAAACATCTGCAAAAGAAGCCCACGGAGACCAGTTACTTGCATTTATAAAATGCCCAGTTTATAAAAGAACGTTTTCTTTTCTGAGCATTATTGCTGAGGGACTGGGGGGAGGTGAACAGAGCAGAGAGGAAGGAGCTGGGGCATGAAGGGTGCTAGGGCAGAGGCCTGGATGTGGGCGGCGTGGAGAACACATGCCGCAGGGTGAGTAGGAGGCGTGGAGAAGGGGCTCTGCCCCTGCAGTTGGCGTACCCCCTTCCCAGGGTCACACCCAGCCTTCTTTGTGGGAAGAGGAATGAACACCAAAGGCCTCAGGGAAGAGAGAAGCTGATGTGGGCACAGTGCAGCTCTAGCCAAGATGCCCCTCTCTCTGCTCTCTCCTCCCCCGTGGGCGCAGGGGCCCCACTTTATCTGGAATCCATACCCTGGGACTTTTTTCTTTTCAGAGAGAGTGCTGCTCTGTAGCCTGGGCTAGAGTGCCGTGGTGTCAGCCTAGCTCACAGCAACCTCAAACTCCTGCCTCAGCCTCCCAGGTAGCTGGGACCAGGTGTGCACCACAACGCCTGGCTAATTTTTTCTATTTTTAGTAGAGACAGGGTCTCACTCTTGCTCAGGCTGGTCTCGACCTCCTGAGCTCAAGCAATCCTCCCGCCTTGGCCTCCCAGAGTGCTAGGATTACAGGCATGAGCCACCATGCCTGGCTACCCTGGGCCTTTTTTCCTCATAGAAGTCAGAGCTGGGGGACCCTTAGAGTGGGACCTTATCTAGCTTCCTCCCATGGGCAGATGAGGGGACTGAAGCTCAGAGATGGTCATTGGTATGCCCAAGGTCACACAGCAAGTGGGAGACATCCCCTTCTGAGAGCCTCATCTTGGTCCAGGTTGCTATAATTAGGCTTAGATCCTGATTCTCTGAGAGGGTACCATCCCCTCTCCACCCCTGGGGGGGACACTTTGCTTTTATCCCTTAACCCTTCAGCTCTTTCCAGGGGCAGATCCAGGAGTTGTGGTCTAGAAACTCCCACAAATTGGGGGGCTTTCTTTAAAAATACAAAGTTACAAATAAAAAATTGAGCACGAAACTAATATTTATTTAGAATGAGAAAAGAAAAATCACACAAATCACTAGAGCCTTGGATGTTCAGGGCTCTTCCTTCTGAGTTCTTTAGGCACTGTACCAGAAATTCTTAGAGTTGCTGCCTGATTGCAACCTGGCTACTCTTCTCCACCCACAAGTGCCAGCAACTCCCAGCACTTGCAGGGATCATTTGAACAAGGCCTCTGGAAGCTTCTAGCAAACCCTTCTTTTGCCTTGGCCTTTGTTCTGCTCCCTTCCTGGGCTTGGGGCTGCAGAGGCCAGCTAGGCTCCCTTTATTCCCTCCACCAAAGTGAGGTACCTCCCCTCTCTGCAAAACAAACTGATCCCCCAGGGCCAAGGGCTTGGTGACAATGGGGCTGTGAGTCACAAAACAAACGTACCCAGCTGTCTCAGATAGATTTTTAATTTCCACTGCAAGACCTGTTTCAGGCCCACCCCTGCCCCCACCCCCATTCAATCAGTCAGAAATTCACTAATTATTTCAACACACATTAAGCAATTATTAATACTTTGCCAGGCCTCATGCTAGGGGCTAGAGATACAAGTATCAATAGGCTACAGACACTTTCAGGATTTTATGATCTGGTGAGGGAAGGCGGCCATCTACATAAATAGTAAGTGCAGCTCCCGTTCACTGAATCTTGGGTGCCCAGGGCTGTAGGCAAATTATGTCATCTAACCCTCACAAACAAGCCCATGACCTTGGCCCTGTGGTTAGACCCAATTTATAGGTGGGCAATGGAGGCTCTGAGACATTGCCTGAGTCATGTGGCCAGTAGGTAGAAGGGCCAAGGTGCACCCTCCCTTCCCTCACTCCTGCTCACAAGGCTGAAGGGCTGGAGATTGGGGTCCTGCTTGGGGCCTAGAATGAGGGCGGGTGGGAGTGCTTCCCTCCTGCGCTGAGGAAAGAGCTGCCCTCACAGGTCTGTCCTCTGCCCCCAGGTTGGCTGGAGATGGAGCGGGAGCCGTGAACATCTGTAAGTCCTCGCTGCAGCCCACAGGAGGTGCCACCTGTGCTGTCCAGAAAAGGCTGGGTCTGGAGAGCGGCAGACGGGGCCCAGGGTCCTGCTGGTGGAGGCCAGAGTCTCCTGCCCTCCCACAGCTTCCGGCAGGTCCCCTGGAGCACACATCTAGCCAGGCTCCATGGCCCAAGGGAGCAGTGCAGGAGGGCGGGGTGGGGCAGGGAGCACCTGTGGAGCGGCCCCTACCTCTGTCAGAGGCTCCTTTTAGGTTGGCCTGTGACAGGAGGCAGGGGGAGGGAGGGGAGCAGCAGGGGCAGTAAGGTGGGGGTCAAGCGAAGGGGTGGGGTCGCTGGTGGGGTGCCTCACACTGACAGGGGCCCTCCTCCCTTCTCTCTCAGCCGTAGTGAAGTCTACTGGTGGCGGTGGCAGCGGGCTGGCCTTCGGGGGAACCATGGGCAGCAATGCCCTGCGCTTCTCCAGCAGTGCGGGGCCCGGGGCCCTGCAGGCCTATTCCGCCAGGACTGCTTCTACCAGCCGCAGGAGTGCCCGCAACTGAGTCCCATTCCCCAGGCCACAGTCACAGGAGAACCCCATCCGCGCCTCTTTTCCCTGGTCCCAAGACAATCTGAAAAATGATATCAGAATAGTTTCCAATAAAGCAGCCTCTTTGAGGCCTGGGTGATCCCTGTGACTGGTGCCTGGTCTCCTGGCTTCATTGGGCTGGCGGGGAAGGGGGTGCGGAGACAGGGACTAGAGAACCGGTGTCTAGGAAGCCCATGTGCAGGAGGCTGAGAAAGCACATGGCGATGGGCCTGCAGCTCTGAGGAATGGGACTCTTTATCTAGCGTGAGGCTTGGACTCCTCCCAGCGCTGCTCCTGAGGAAGCCCAGAAAGGCCACAGGGAAGTTCAGGCTCTGCCCGCAAGTGGGCATTGGAGTCTCGCCCTGCCAAGAGGGGTGGGAAGGCTGTTTGCACCCCTCCCCCCGTGTCCTGTGCTGCCAGAGCGCATTCCTCTTGTGGTGAGAGGACCACAATGTTCAGCTGCCCCAGGCCTGGGTTTCGGGTGGCCCAGCCAACTTTCATACCAGCTGCTCTCAGCCCTTCCTGGCGCCAGGCCTGCCAGGCTCACAGTCAGGCCAGGCCCTGGGGGGCTCTCTGCATCTCGGATTCTGTGGGGTAGTGGTGGTGGGAGGAGGTCTGTGTGTGTATGGGAGTGGGGGTCCTGGAGTCTAGGGCCCTGGGGCAGGGTCTGTGCCTGGTCTTCGGCAGAGGGTAGGTGTGTATCTGGGCCCATGGGAGTGGGGGAGAGGGGAGGAGGACCTCTGCGAGTTAAGTCCATGCTTGAGAGGGGCCTCTAGACGTCAGGGTCTCTGACATGGACGTCTGTGTGTATGTATGTGCGCGCGCGCGTGTGTGTGAGTGTATCAGGTGTTGTCAGGGCCTGTGCACGAGGATACCTGTCCCTGATGGGCAGCAGTGCAAGGACGGATACTGGGGAGGAGGGGCAGTCTCTGTGTTGGGGCTGCCCACCCATCCCCTGTGACCCTCAGGATGCAGTGTATGTGGGGTAGGGCTAGGGCACCTGGAGATAGCTCTCCCTCCCTCCCTCTATGGCTGACAGGGTGGAACTTGGGTAGGAGGGCAAAGTGGGCAGAACAAAGGAAACATTCTCAGGATGCATTATATATATGACCATGGGCTTTATTGTAAACACGGAGACCCAGCAGAGTGGGGAAAGCGAGGCAGCTGTGAGGCTGCCCAGTGGGAGATGCAGCCTGTCACCACCGGGGTGTAGAAGGCAGGGGAGGGAGGCCAGCATAGCAAGTCCACACCGAGTGAGAGGCCCTGGGGCCCATCTGTCCCTCAGAGGCCACAGGCATCCAAGCCTCTAGAGCAGGCCTAGCGGGGATTAGCTCTTTTCCAGAGGGCTGCGAGGACACCAGGTTTTGGGAGGTTAGGATCGTGCCTTGACGCAGAGGCAGGCCAAGCTCCCATGCTGTCCAGCCACTCTAGGTAACTGTTTGTGTCCCAGAGAGCTTGGTGAATGGTACAGAGAATACAAATTGGCCACAAGTATTCTGGAGGCAGGTTGGAGTTAAGCGAAGGGCTGGGAATGACTCTAAACTGAAGCCACCAGGAAAACTAGGACACAGCTCCCCAAAATGAGAAGGTGGAGGATAGCATCCTGAGGGTCTTTCCCTCTGCAGGAACATGTGGAAGATTCTGGAAGCAAGCACACGTTTTGCATTCACACACCATTCAGTGCTCGGCTGCCACAGGCGGGGCAGGCTCTGGACTCCACTAGGCAAAGCGGACGGACCGGCTGCTTCCGCAGGTGAAGCTGGAGGAGCGGGGCTGGCAGGGCGCGCAGGAGTCAGGGGCCGTCACTGTGATGCTGCCCCCCGTGGCTGGAGAGCCAGAGGTGATCTGGCGCCCTGGGGTGGTGCTGTAGGTGAGGCCCCCGCAGGAGACTCCGCCACGGGAGCTGCTGACACCTGTGGGGAGAGGCGACACAGAGGGTGAGGGCTCGCTGTGATCGCGCCTGCCCCGTGACAGGCCCCAGAGGGCAGCGGCATTGCAGGAGCTGCCTGCTCTTCAAGGGGTCCAGTGGTCGACAACGCAGACCCTGTCCCTCAGCTGCACATCCCATCTGGGGGCCTGGAGCAGGAAGGAACCGAGGACCCCTGGACCCAGAAGAGCAAAGCTGCCAGGCCCCGGCATGGCCTCGGCTCTCGGTTGCCACCAGTAAAGGCCACTCAGCTCTGTTTTCTCTAACTCCCTTCGTGGTCCCCAAGGAGGGGCCAGGAGAGGGAGAAAGGCCCTCTCTTACTTGGGGGAATATTCAAGGCCCAGTGGCTTAGGCCAAAGGGTTCAGCTTTGCCTGTCAACAAAGCCATTTTTCTAGGGGATTTCGGGCAGATACTCACAGACATTGACGGAGCCCACACCTTCACACAGCCTGGGGAGAGAAAACTCTGTTAGCTGCAGACACTGAGCTGGATTCCTTGAGACCCATAGTTGCTTGGGGGCAGAAAGGGTCTTCCTGTGGACAGTCTATCCCCTGAGAGGCAGGAAGGGCTTCCCCAGTCTGTATTAAATGCTCACTTCTTTCTTTCATGGTTCTCTAACCATGGGGACAAGCCCTTCTGATTCTCAGCAGCCCTGGGTGAGACTGTGACCTTCACCTGCTGCCCCCGATCTGAGTACCGTAGCCCACCCCGGGTAGTGCCAACCAAGCTCTCAGGAAGGAGCGTCAAGTCAGACGCAGCAGAGTGCGGGAGGGCTTTGCGGAAGGCGAGAGGTGAACGCGTGCAGAGGTGCACCCCCATCGTATTGCACAGGCCTGCGGCGGGGCAGGAAGCTGGTCTGCAAGAATGCCTTTGGGGGCACATGACTGGGAGCAGAGCTCAGCTCTTCTGCTTATTAACTGGGTAGCCATGAGAAAGGCACTGAACTCTGAGCCTATTTCTTTATGTTTGGGTGGGAAAAGTGATATCGATCTCATTGGATTATAAAATGAGCACTTAGCACGGGTCTAGCATATAATAAGCATTAGATAA